AAAAATAAAATAAAAAAAATATTAAAACAAAAGGAAAAAGATAAAATAAGTACCAAAAAAGAAAAAAAAATAAAAATAAACAAAAACACAATAGAAAAAAAGAAAGTACGAAAATGAAAAAATAGTCAAAAGAAAAAATTAAAAAATACAAAAACTAAAAAAATGAAAAAATAGAAAAAAAATTAGTTTTATAAAATACAAACAAAAAATAAAAAAATATAAGAAATAATAAGACAAATATATAAAAAATCAAAGATAAAAAATTAAAAGAAAAAAGTTAATACAAAATAAAAAATAAAAACAAAAGAAAGTGTGAAAAAAAAACACAAATTAGAAAGAAATGCCAAAAAAAAACTCAAAAAAAAAAAAAACCAAAACCTTAAGAAAAAATAAAAAATGAAAAAATTAAAGATAAAAAGTAAAGAGAGTACAAAAAGAAAAAACTAATAGAAAATAATGTAAATGAACAATTAAATTAAAATAACGAAAAAAAAATCAAAGTAAAAAGAAAAATATATAGTGAAAAAGTAATAAAAAAAAGTAAAAAAGTATTCTGTTAAAAAAAAAAAGGAATGAATGAAAATAAAAAAGAAACAATATACTAAATAACAAATGAAAAATTAAGAAAATGCATAAATAGCTAAAAAAAAAGGAAAAGGAAAAGAAAAAGGAATTAAATAAAGAAATAAAAAAAATTTTACAAAGTTCAATCTTTAATTTATGTTTTAAAACTTAATTTGAATTTGAAAGTTTAGATGCAAAATATTTTGATTTGAATTTATTGATTTAAATTTAAAATTTTTAATTTTTAAATCATTAAAAATGTAAAAATATAGATACATGAAGTAACTAGTGATAGATATAACAATTCCAAACTAGTGTTATTATATATAAGCCAATAAAATTTCAAAAGAAAATAACAAAAATAATTATTATCTCTTAATAAAAGATAAATATTATACAATCCAAAATAATAAATAAAATAATAAGTAATAAATAAAAGATAAATATTATACAAAATAATTTTGTTAATTAGATAAAATACACGATAAATAAAAATAAATTTCAAGATAAAATACAAGATCTTAATTAAATATCTAATTAATAATAAGGTGATATTTAATGAAATCAAAGTCTCATTCAACAATGTTTAATAATAGGGTGATATGCATTTAAGTTAAACACAAGCAACATGCCACATGTATAGAGAACAATGCTATTTTAGAAATAAAGACAATCAAACTTGAACTTCATGATTTAAGAGCATAATGAACTAATCCTAAAGCAAAAAGATTCAAGGCAAAGATTGCTTGCAAAATAAACCTAATCACATCAATTGCTCACAAATAAGACATTATAAATGTTTTAACTCGAAACCCCAAAGATACGAAAGTAGAAGGCCTTTAAGAACCTAAAGAGAAATTAAAACCAAAGCAACAAAAACTTAACAAGAAAAGACTATAATGATAGGCCAAAGATAAGAGGTAGTTTTGCATCTCAACATAAATATACAACAATTATATACCAAAGTTAAAAAACAACAGCCACCAACCACATCATAAGTCAGGGTGCTTCCAATAATAACAGTGTTACTTAAGAAAACAAAGTCCATATTATAATCATAAACATAGAATTTTAGCAACTTTAATCAAACTCTTCATGATCTGAAATGTACTAGAACAGGTACAATTATCATCGAAAGTTACCATACAATACAACAAAAATTCTATGCAAGATCATAGATTTTCAAAGAATCCAAAAAGAAAGAGGCAATCTTCCATCTCAGTGCTTAACTAGATTTAAGTTTATGAAATTAATCTTAAGAAAGTAATCCATCATGCAACAAAATAAAGTGAAATCAGCAAAACAAGAAGAATAAAAAACAACACAAGAAGAAAAGAGGTACTCTTCATTGTAAGCACTCATCCTCAGTGCTAGGTTGGATTAAGTTTCTGAAATTAAACCTAAGATTACAATTTGTCATGCAACAGAGTTGAACTAGCAAAATAAAAAAATAAAAAATAAAAAACTCAACCATACAAATTTGGAGTACACTACTATACAATCTCTAATTCCTCTCTCTAGCAAATCATGCTTGGAGTACACGATCAACTAATTTCTGTATAGACGACTAAAAGCAACCACAATTAAGAAAAGTTTACAAAACTACAATTTGTACACAAAAGATAAAACTAAAATTTAAATGGAATGTTAAAGCATAAGAGATCAAATATTAATTGAAGTTTAGATCAAACTCCAGCAAGTTAAAAGCACTACAACAAAAAATTAGACATTAACCAGAAGCTATGGAATGAAATCTAGAAGCCAACTTGCAGAATAAAACCAACAAACACACAAACATAGAAATTTTGAAACTTTAATTCCTTCTATCCTGCAAGGTATGCTTGGAGCACATAGCCAATTAAGCTTCAAAGAGACAAACAGATGACAACTAGGCACACTCATGAATGAAGAAACCACAACCCAAGAATTTCTTTTGCAGTAACATTCTCCTAATGCATTCTCAAACAACTTCATCAAATTAAATGCAACCACAATGAAAAGTTTGACAACATCATCAATAACTAAAAAAGCCAAGCCAGTGAAACCTAAGAACCCCATCTGTCATGCCACAGAGAGAAAAACAAGAAAACTCCCATACACACAGAGCCACACAAATTTTTGATCCTTAAATCCTACACACAGCCATACAAATTTAGAATCCATAATTCCCCTGCAAGTCATTCTTGGACCACACAGCGCATTAAGTTTCATACAGACCATCAGATCACAACCACACTAAAAGAAGAAGAACCCAAGGGATTTTTCAAAGTAAAGTTACAAAGCCCTAATTTATGTAAAAATTTAAAAATGAGACAAGAAGAATCCAGAGATAATCTCAATGAGAAAGACACCAACTGAGAGGCTATGACAACATATATTTAGAGTTTCAAAGAATCCAGCAAAAGGAAATAATCTTCCTTTTAAGCATTCAACCATAATGCATGTCAAAATTAAATTGCAGAAATTGAACCTAGCAAACCACTCTGTCCTGTAACAAACAGAGTGAAACCAACAAAATAAAAACCTCCCTAAACACATACCTACACACACAGAGGCACAGAAATTGAATTCACTGCTTGAAGCACACAAAGAGAAAAACAACAGGAAAACTCCCATACACAGCCACATAAATTTTTAATCCTTAAATACTTACACACAACCATAGAAATTTAGAATCCTTAATTACCCCTACACTACAAAACAAGAAGGAAACTCCCATACACATATTTAGAGTTTCAAAGAATCCAGCAAAAGGAAATAATCTTCCTTTTAAACATTTGACCACAATGCATGTCAAAATTAAGTTTCACAAATTGAACCCAACAAACCAACCTGTTCTGTAACAAACAGAGTGAAATCAACAAAACAAAAAACTCCCAAAATACACCTACACACACATCAGGCACAGAAATTGAATTCAGCTAATCATGCAAGCCATTAGCTTAGAGCACACAAAGAGAAAAACAAGAAACTCCTACACAGCCACACAAATTTTTAATCCTTAAATCCTACACACATACAACTTTAGAATCCTTAATTCCCCCTACACTACAAGTCGTTCTTGGAGCACACAGCACATAAGTTTCATAGAGACCAACGAATTACAACCACACTAAAGGAAGAAGAACCCAGTGAATTTTCCAAAGTAAAGTTACAAAGCCCTAATTTATGTAAAAATTTAAAAATGAAACAAGAAGAATCAAGACACAATCTCAATGAGAATGACACCAACTGAGAGGCTATGACAACATATGCAACTTCAAAGAATCCAGCAAAAGGAAATAATCTCATTTTTTAAGCATTCAACCACAATGCATGTCAAAATTAAGTTGTAGAAATGGAACATACAAACCAATCTGTCCTGTAACAAACAGAGTGAAACCAACAAAACAAACAAAAAAGAGTAAAAATTTAAAAATCCAGAAAAAAAAATAATCTTCCTTTTAAGCATTCAACCACAATGCATGTCAAAATTAAGTTTCAAAAATGGAACCTAACAAACCAATCTGTCCTGTAACAAATAGAATGAAAGCAACAAAACAAAAAACTCCCAAAATACACACCTAAACACACGAGGCACAAAAATTAAATTCACTTTATCATGCAAGCCATTTGCTTAAAGCACATAGAGAGAAAAACAAGAAGGAAACTTTCATATGCACAGCCACACAAATTTTTAATCCTTAAATCCTACACACAGCCATACAAATTTAGAATCCTTAAGTCCCCCTATACTGCAAGTCATTTTTGGAGCACACAGTGCAACAAGTTTCATAGAGACCAACGGATCACAACCACAATAAAGGAAGAACAACCCAAGGAATTTTCCAAAGTAAAGTTACAAAGCCCTAATTTATGTAAAAGTTTAAAAATGAAACAAGAAGAATCAAGACACAATCTCAATGAGAAAGACACCGAGAGGCTATAACGACAGATACTTAGAGTTTCAAAGAATCCAGCAAAAGGAAATAATCTTCCTTTTAAGCATTCAAGCCCAATGCATGTCAAAATTAAGTTTTAGAAATTTAACCTAACAAACAGAGTGAAACCAACATGACAAAAAACTCTCAAAATACACCTACACACACAAGATGCACAAAAATTGAATTCACCTTATCCTGCAAGCCATTTGCTTAGAGCACACAGCCCATACAGATACTCTTCCTTTTAAGCAGCAATTGCTATCCTCGTCAAAATTAAGTTGCAGAAATTAAAAGAAAGAAACCATTCTGTCCTACAACAAAAAGATTGTAACAAACAAAACAAGAAACTTACAAAATATACATACACAAGAGGCACAGAAATTGAATTCCTCCTTATCATGCAAGCCATTCGCTGAGAGCAGACAACTACTAAATAATATCCACACTTAAGAAGCCACAACTAAGGGGTTTTTCAAAAAGTAAAATTCCAAAAACTAAACTAATATAGATAAATGTGTCACAAGAAGAATCAAAACATGACATAACAAAACCTCAATGAGAAAAAAACGACAACTATGAATGGCCAAAGATGATAACTAACTCCAATAACAAAAGAGGCAAGGAATCTTCCTTTTAACACTCAACCTTTGTGCTTGGTGGAACTTAGTTTCAGAAAATAAACCTAAGAAATTAATCCATCAAGCAATAAAGTTGAACCAACAAAAAATAACTAACTCCTAACATGCACAACACACAGCTATCCAAATTTGAATCTCTAATTCTTCCCATCTTGCAAAATTGCAAGCACACAATCCATTGAGCTCCATAGAGACTACCAAATAACAATCATACTTACGAAACCACAATCCAAAGATTTTTTCAAAAGCAAAATTACAAAACTCAACTCATGTACACAAAAAATGAAAGAATGAAACAAGAAGAATGTGATATAATAAAATCTTAATGAGAAAAGATATCTACAAAAATGCTTAGGAATATTATGTTTCCATTTCAAAGAGCCAAATAACAAGAGGAAGCTTCATTCAAAGTCACATACCATTCTAAAATCAGCAAGATGTGATATAATAAGTCCATACCACTTAAGTTAAATGCAATTGTCATGGAACCAATAATCTTAGTGGACCAAAACCGAACATAAAAACAAAATCTCAACAAGAAAAGACATCTATAGAGATGCTTAGGGATATTATTGTTTCCATTCAACGTGTTATATAACAATTACATACTAGTTGAGTTAAACACAATTGTCATGCCATAGGAAAATTTTAGTGTTTCCCCCAAGTATAACTATAACAATGCTATTTGAGAAATAAAAATAGAAGAACTTGGAGGCCATGCAACAACTACAAAAAAGGCAAGCCAAAACTGATCAAAACCAATGCAGCAAATAAACAAAATGAAGACAAGGACAGCTAGCAAATAAAGTAAAAGTAAGGCAATAAGAAATGAATAAAGCAACAGCTAACCACATTCATTACCAACTCATTTTACTGATTGAACAACCCCAAGCTCACAAATAAAGTATTATAACCTTAACCTTAACCTAAACTCAAAACCTCCAATATATCCTAAATAAATTAACCCCAATACAACCCTAAGATAATTATCCATTACTTTCTAAATAGAAGGACTTATATTGTTAAAGACTTAACCCTAACCTTAAGACAACATTAACTTACTTTCTCAATGAATAATCATAACATAACATAAGAAAAACTCAATGAGAACACACATCTAATGAAAGACGGAAAAAGACGCATATTTAGAGTTTTAGAGAATACAATATGAAAAAAGGTAAGCTTTCTTTTGAAGTGGCATATCATTCAACATATGGTATAGCAAAGCAGTAGCCTCGATAAGTTCCTTTGGAACCAAAAAGAAAAATTCATTAAAAAAATTACATTTGTTCCGTGAATATCCCACTACTTTACAACCAATGCCATAAAAAAACATGATGAAAATATTGGTATTTGTACTCACCTAGATAACCTCTCTCCATTTTAGTATCATTAATGCAAAAATTAATAGATTTCTATGAGCAAAACATTAAATGATAATTGATCTTCCTAAAAAAGTAGTTTCTCAATGATAATTACAAAAATCCTATACCATCAAAAAAATCCAAAATACTAACATCTATTGATTGGCAAATGCTAAAAGAGATTTTAATCAAACAAGAATATTTACAATTAAGGCTTAGGGCAAATACTAAAGGCCATCGTTTGCTTTATTCTTCAAGGTAAGACATAATTAAGGTTTTTTTGATTAAGTTGCAACATCAAATCTCTATCTTATAATTGAAAATTAACTACAGAGGCTCTTCTAGTGCACTGGTTTGGGACATGAATGGGCCAAGATTTAAAAATTTTAAGAGCTTATTTTTTTAATTTCCAGGAGGTGAGATTGGACTTGAATCATGAAAAGCAACTAATGAATACTTTAACATAACTTTTGCATTTTTTTTTATCCTTTCTCCAATTTTCTTCGGCAGGTCAATAACTTTGGCCATGACACATAAGTACGAACATTTAAGATTCTTCTGAATCCATCTTATCAGTTGTAATCATCTACATCATTGGTTTATACCCACCAGCCAAATTTCATGGTCGGTGGGTAAATTAGGCCATAGGGTATGCTTCACCATGCAATTGAACTCTCAACAAGATTCATATATGAACCATTAATGATAAAATTGTCAGTATGACTATAGCCGAAAGAAATCAACTCACCACCCACAGCAGAGTCCGTGGCTTTAGAGTGGTTATATTGTCAATAACCAGCTCAAATCCTTGAGGGGCATCAACTATCTCTACAATGGTCATTGCACCAAGCAAGAAAAAACGATTCAGCAGATGCATGTGTCAGCTCTGAAATAGCTAAATCAGTTGAAGGAGCCTACAAATGTGAATGGCCCAAGCATTATTACACAAGTATTAACAGATAAAGGCGGAAATAAATAAGAAAATGATAAAAAAAAAAGTTTTCCATACATAAGTCAGATGCATCAGCATAAGTAGACCATAGAATTCCATTAATAAAGGGAGATAGTCATAGTAACCATTTGCAGAATTCCTAGTGATGGTAACAAGCCACACACAAACACAAACTTTGGCTCTCCCAATTGACCATGGGGGTAGGTACCTAGTTTTGCTATCTTAATTCATTGCTAGGATAGTTCCTTGGAATTGGTTTAAATTGGAGATGCTCCTTCCTTAAATGGGAAGTGGGCTCCAACATAAATTAAAAATAAAGGATATTAAATTGCAATGATCACTTCATAAAAAGACAAGCCATTGTTCACCAAAAACATAGACCAATAAAACTAGTAGATCAGGAAATAAGTTTAGAGCCCAAGCATCCTGTATTTCATTAACTCTTGAATGAATACCGGATCATGAGGCCACCACCAATGAACATGAGAGAAACAGGTTGAAACCTGACAGTACTGAATAAAGCATCCAATACGCAACAGAATTTTGTGTTTTCATCCCAATTTATGAGAATGATAAATATGATGCAAACTACAAGAAGAGGGACAGCAGAAAAACACAGTCCAATACTAAACATCTGAGAATCATTCTTACCCCAATGCTCCTTAACACCCATAAACTCACAGCCATCAACAATCTATTCCACTTTTATTGAAGGCTAGAAATTCTTCAAAGATAATGCCTACATATCCTATTACAAAAAGCAATGCCATAGAAATATGCATTATGAAATTAGATCAAATTAAGAAAGGCTTCTGTGCATAATACAAGAATATGCAAAATATTGGCCAAAGATGAAAAATGATTAAAACCTACAAAGAAAGGATTGCACAAGAAATTAAAGATAAACCTGAAACCCATGATAGGTTAATTGCCACAGTCCCTGTTAAAGCTGCTGTGAAAACACCAAAAGTTTTCAACAAATTAGTCTTTGGCTGGTAAGTAACTTCAAAATCTAACGAGCTAGCTTCATCAACTGAACATAAAGGATCACAAGGTCCAGAGGTTGAGGTCAGCTCCTGTTGATATGCAAAAGGTATTTCAGTGTGTGGCAAAACCCAAAAATGAAGAAACACAGACACTGCTGTTTTGCTATGATGGTTGGTTTTTATAGCAATTTGGAGAATGCTTTCTAAACAGCCTTTTGAGTAATCTTCCCTCATAAAGAGGATCATTACTCAGCCTCAATCCTGCCAATGAAGGATGAGAAACCAAGAAGAGTCATTTGAAAAATGTTCCTAGCCTTTAGGATTCAGCATTTTTTACACAATGAGGCTTCTTTCATGACTTGAACTTGCTCATTTGAGCCCCTCAGCCAAAATCTTTTATATTACACCAGACAGTGTCTCCTAATCAACCCTCATATATGTAACTAAATCAATCTGATTTCTGAGCTAAACATCTGCAGAAGGTAATTTCTAATAGCAATAGCTTGAAATTCTATCAAATTATTTGACCTCCTCATTAACCAAGATAAAATCTTCAAATGCATGAACTAGCAGTACAGGCAAATGGGTACCTTAAACTGCAGTACTTATAAGCAAGACAATAGATGACAAAAGACACAAAATGAAACCAAAAAACTCACACCCAAATCATAAATCAATGAACATGCAAATGGGTACTCGTAAAGATAAAATTTTTCATAATGGCATAGGGATGAAAAGAACAAAAACCTCAAGCTGCTTTTCATTGTTGGGTTGAACTTTTTGTTGCCGTGCAATGACTTTCGTTATGGGGTTTACCTAGACTCATAATTGTTGTTATATTATTACATTATAATATAAATCAAATTAAGAATTTTTTTTATTGAAAGAAAAAAAGAACAATACTAATTTTTTTACTTGAGATACTATAACTAATTGAAGGTATGGATCCAATCTATAACTAAAGTTATAAAGGGGATACACTCATTTTTTTTGGTTTCTAAGTCTATTGCAAATCATTGAAAAGCTTGCAGATCCTAACAAAAATGTTCACCTGATGGCTCCAGCTGCTACTTTGTGAAAATAAGCAAGTGAATGCAACCAATCTTTAAATTTTAGCTTTCCAATATATGAACGAGGTGTCATTTTCCGCAAACAATAAGAATGGAAATCAAATTGATCTTCAGTAATATCAGCATAGTGCTTCTCCACAGCTATAAATTTCTCCAGGGCTCGTCCAAGATCACCATGTCGAAAGTAACTTTCATCAGAAGCAAGTTCATACCTTCAAAAGATGGATAACACTCAGTAGGTGTACCCAAATTATAATTAGAGACAACGACATGTGGAAGGTAATAAACAAAAACAGACCACATGCACTGCATGTCATGAAGGTTGGTGTGCTGGCCCCATCTTTCGTGAACAAAACAGCAGTTTTTCCTGCCAAAGCCACCTTCAAGAGTAGAAAAAGTTTGTGAACAGTACAATAATACCGAAAGAAATTTAGTGACAAATATTAACTATGACAAAAGATGAAGGGGGGAGCTTTAGAACCTGATCAGCCTGCAACATTCGCTTCACAGATTCACTGTTTATATAGCGATCTGCAAGATCCATACACCTAGCTTCATCTGTCAATGAAGCCACAGCTACCAAATCACCAGCATGTTTCAGTATCCGACTCTGTCACCAAAGAGAAGTAAATAATATACACATAGACCCAGCTTCAAGAAAATTCCAAGAACTTCTCCAAAAGATAGTAAAAAGGTTCATCAAGAAACAATAGCCATGTACCAAAAACCCCAAAACCTAAGAAAGGAGGTCATATGCCTGCCCAATGCCCATCAAGACTTAAGGTCCACAAAGAAAAACTAGTATGCATTTTAAATGAATGCATATCAACTTTGCACAATTTAGTGCAAAATAATATATTCAATCAAGGTCAGTATCATAGAAAGTGATAAGTCTCTTACAAGTGAACGATAACTCCAGGGCAATATCTAGAAAGATTTTCAGGTAATGCTATGCCTTGTGAGATGCGAGACAAACCAGGCAAAAAGAATTCAAAATATAAGAAAAAAATAAAATAAAAGAATCCAGCTGACAAAAATATAAAACCCAGCAGATGAAGCCATTGCAAAAATTTGAAGATTGAAGACGAGAACAAACCTTGACAGAGTATATATCAATTACAGTTGGTGTGTGCTCTATGGCCTCATTAATTTTTGAAAAGCAACGTCATATTGTCCTCTTCTGTCATAATGCTGCATCAATAAATTCAAAGTTACTCAAATGCAAAGAAAGCACCAAATATTTATAGCAAGAAAAGAAGAAAAGGCCATGGCCCATGGGTGAGGAAACCTGATGGTTACCCACCTAAGCCAAAAAGAATAAAATCCATAAAAGTGTTGAAGGGGCTCTTTCACTGTCCTGCACTCAATATGAAACACAAGCAAGAAATGACTCAGCATAATACCAAATGCGTGCTTGTGTATTAGCATACAAACAAAAACATAGAAACTTCACATGCAACCATATGGGACAACCATATGTACTTGTTTAATAGATAACAACACATAAATGACTGAGGACTTCACCAAACAATAAGCAGTAAAAGATAAACATGCAATCAGACCATACCCAATATCTAAACATTTGGACACTGTTAAGACTTACTAGAATATCACATAAGGGCTGAAAGTCTATATTACCTCAAAAAGTAGTAAATCTAAACATTTATTTGCTTTTAAGACTTACTAAAATATTACGCAAGGGTTTAAAGCATATACTACCGATCAGGGTATCTGCCGTCGGTCCTAATTGAATGCTCCAACTCAAAAATAGGTTGTTCCAATATGTCTGCCTGTATAAGTGTCAACAAAGCAGGTAATCAATCCTAACGAAATCAAGCTCCAATCAGTTGCTAAGCAGTTTAGGAGAATCAATATTTAGAAACTTAATTCTATTTTTAGAATATGTAAGTAAGAAAACTTACCTTTCTAGGGTGACCGTACAAGGGAGAAAGGTCTGAAATAAAGATGGAACCCCTTGAGGCCACAGAAAAAATATATCATTATTTCACCCGACAAACTAAAAAACACCAGTCAAACTAATTAAAAAAAAAAAAAATCTCACTTGGATATAAAGGCTAGAAGAGGCTTAATGTAATCAATTGCCGCTTCACGAAATTTGTTTCCTTGCAGTAAATCAAGTGGTATCCTCTAAAAATTGAGAAAACAAAGTTCTAATATAAGTCCTAGAACATTCATCACATATCATAAAGGAAGTAGCATTTATTGGCAATAATGATGCACATTGTAAAAGCAATAATTACAATTCTCATGAATGAATACATAACAAATGTGGGTTATAGGAAGAAAACAATTTAAATACATCCTCACTGCACGAGTCAAATCCCAAAAGCTCTAGAGTTTGACACTTTATTTCAATCATGCCATAACTTGGCCCACCGTCAAAAGGTTTTTATTATAGGAAAGTCGTTTAACTAAAAGAATGAGATAAAGATAGCCACTAATAAAAGAATTAGCCACCATGTCAACTCTCTAGGGGTGAAGCATATGAAAGCGTAATTTTAACTACCTAGAGTTCTTACTATTGTCACATCAAGACACCAATGAAGTATTTCAGCATAATACCACAACTATCTATTTCTAGATTATCTAAGAATATCACAACCCATCGAATGGACTGTGTCTATTGCAGAAGCACATCACTAGATTTTTGTCACATAATTTCTTATCAAGCCATCAAGAAAAACAAGATCGCTACAAGAGTATTTGAAGAGTATTTGTAAAAATAGCCACCCCTCCTCTCTCTAGAAAAGGGGAGAAAGCTTGATAGCTCTACAAAAAAGTAAGGTTTTCATTGGATTTGCATCATGTGATTCTATAAATAAGAGAGAGAAGAAATCCAGAGTAAATATAATGAACAGAACATCCCAAGGTACCATTTGGAGCTCATTAAAAAAAAATACCAAACAGAAAATCAAATTAATAAGACTAACAGCTAAGGCATAATAAAATAGCTTACACTAGCAACATCATTATATACAGTCTATACCGATAACACATTTTATCATCAGAAAAAAATAAAAAAAAAATCAAATTGGGCATTATTTGAAGTAAAAAAATTTAAATAAAATTAAGATGGTAGAAATCAAACCTTCAGAAGGTCTCCAAATTCCTCACACATTCCAATTTGTCCTCCACCAACTAATTCTCTACTTTGTTTGGATTGACCAATGGCCGAGAAAAATTCCTTCACCTCAAAGGAATTAATTTCCCTCTTATCAGATCAAGAACCCTAATTTCCCAACCTAATCTTGATGCCCAATCTCAAGGAAAGTTGAATCGACTCATTACTTGCTTGATGTCGATATTATCGACAATAATCTATATTCCAAGCCGAAAGGGAATCCAAAAACGAAAAACCTAAATTTGAGAGAAAGAAAATTGAAATGATAGAAGAATGGCTGAAGACAGTGGGTTTTAAATTTAAAATGCAAAAAAAATCTAACCGTTGAAAACTTAACCATTATATTTTAAATTAAAATTTGAACTTTTTTGTATTTTAAAATAAATGTAGTGCTACATGACACACATATTTGATGAATCAGCTTTGCTTCTTTTATATACATGAAAAAAAAATGCAAACAGAAAAAGTGGAGGAGCCCGCATCAATTTTTAAAAGAAATTTCATTTCTACGAAAACAAAGTTGCGGAAAGAATGGCAGGATGCGAATGTTACCAAAGCAATTCTAAATTAAAATCTAAATTACCCCCACACCAAACGTTAACAGCAAAAGCCCAGCCAGCCTTAAAGCTTAAAAAGTTGCAAGGATGAGTAGTGAGAAGGAATAGCATCGTTTGCTCCAATTGCGCAGAAAGGATGGTGAAAGACTGATAAAAATATCTAAAATTAGCAAAAAGACCCCTCACCAATTCACCAAAAAAAAAAAAGAGCTGATCATTTTATTTGGTGGTTTAGAAATTTAGACTTTTCTCAAAATAAGGGGAGGACCCTCCCCTTCTCATTAGTCCTATTCCCAAAGACATGTGGTGGTGTTTATGATTCCATGGGTCAACCATCACTGCACCCCATGATAAGCTTCTAAAATATTGTTGATAACTATATTATCAAGGAGAAAATTAGCAAAATCATGAACGAAAAATTGAAATAATGAATCAATTGAGAAGAAAACCGAGTTAAATATATCAAATCTTTTTTGAAGACATTTTGTGTTCTTAGATTCTCTTTATATTATGACGTTTTTATTTTATTATATTTTTTTGTAAAAAAATTTAAAAATAAGAGAAGTTATCTTATTTTTAAAAATTAATAAATTATTTATTAATAAAAAATCATTAAAGATTTGAATCTGGTTATCATAAATCTAGATACTTTACATCTAAATCTTAAACTTTAATTATTTGCACCAATCTTTATTGACTTACTTGATTATAGTTAGTAAAAGAAAAACTCAATAAAGTACTGAAAGAAAGAAAAGAAGGTTCAACGACATGTTGATAAAATTGTACATGGAAACTAGCAAGGAGAAACATGAAATTTTATTTCTTTTAAAAAACTTGTGGTGCAAGATCCTTTGGGATAATTATTAGTTCAAATAATATGCAATTTAATTAAATTTTAATTTAGTCAAATTTTTAAAATTATAAATTTGAAAATATTTTAAATGTTTAATTTTTTTTCATAGCAAATTAAATTAATAATTAAAATTTAAAAATTATCACTTAGATTTTTTTTTTTTGAGGTTTTTTAAAGAATATTCCAAAAGCCTTAAAATTGGGATTGTCATGCTTTTCTATAAATCGTTGGGTGAGGAGATAAAATTATAAAATATCGGAAACACTTCTTTTGGTTCCTTATAAAATTATATACCATTAAAAATTATAATTATAATTATAATTAAATTATAATTATAATCAAATAACTTTTAATGTATTAAAAAAATTAACAAATCAAAATATAATATGACAATTCAAATTTGATTGGTTAAAAAATTTTAAAAATCTAATAATTAACAATTACTCAAACAAAAAAAATTAAGTGTTTAACAATTTAATCATCCAATTACATATAATACTTATTATTTAATATTTTTCATTATGTTTAATGCATAAAATAATAGATAAGACATAATAATTTTATATTATATTTGATTTATATCTAATTAATCGTCTTGGTATAAAATGATTCAATTTTTCGAAAATAAAAATAACTATTTTTTATTTATAATATTAAACTTATATGTTCTATTATAACTTTAAAAATTATATTAATAATTTAAATTATATAAATTTTAAAGAAAAATAATTTTATGTAGCATCTCAATAAGATTTGGTTAACCTTTTTCAACTAATAATAAAATTTTATAATCCAATCAAAATCCACTTTTTGTTGCTAATTATCAACCTTTCCTCCATAATAAAATTCAAACAGCAAACCATAAGAGACGAGACTTAGAACAACAAAACTGGGAATTTTTGATAGCCACTCTTGTCAGCTCCATAGCAAAATTTTCCACATTATGTGGTGTTTATAAATGGCAACTAATAAAAGGGGCGAAGTACAACATGCTCCAAAGGCAAAGATTAGCTCTAAAACAGTGTTCTTCCCATGCTGACCAGAAGATTTCATCAGCAGTACCCAAAAATTTTCTATAGCGCCTCAAATTTTGGGGCAAACCTATGGAGCCAGATATCTCTAAAGATCTCAACCAAATGGTAAGCAAATTAAAAGAATATATATATATATATATATTATGTAGCATCTCAATAAGATTTGGTTAACCTTTTTCAACTAATAATAAAATTTTATAATCCAATCAAAATCCACTTTTTGTTGCTAATTATCAACCTTTCCTCCATAATAAAATTCAAACAGCAAACCATAAGAGACGAGACTTAGAACAACAAAACTGGGAATTTTTGATAGCCACTCTTGTCAGCTCCATAGCAAAATTTTCCACATTATGTGGTGTTTATAAATGGCAACTAATAAAAGGGGCGAAGTACAACATGCTCCAAAGGCAAAGATTAGCTCTAAAACAGTGTTCTTCCCATGCTGACCAGAAGATTTCATCAGCAGTACCCAAAAATTTTCTATAGCGCCTCAAATTTTGGGGCAAACCTATGGAGCCAGATATCTCTAAAGATCTCAACCAAATGGTAAGCAAATTAAAAGAATATATATATATATATATATATTATGTAGCATCTCAATAAGATTTGGTTAACCTTTTTCAACTAATAATAAAATTTTATAATCCAATCAAAATCCACTTTTTGTTGCTAATTATCAACCTTTCCTCCATAATAAAATTCAAACAGCAAACCATAAGAGACGAGACTTAGAACAACAAACTGGGAATTTTTTGATAGCCACTCTTGTCAGCTCCATAGCAAAATTTTCCACATTA